TAACTCTAGCAACTCAGAGATTCAGTGTGATGAAGGATTTGCTGCTGTTATTTGAAACAACTTCTGCTTTGAATGCTCACTAAGCTGGGTTTTTTTACACAAGAAGCAGAAGAATAGGACGCACATTGCTTCATTTGACCAGCTCAGTTTCAAGCGAGTTACAAAGACTCTTCTCTGCTCAACTGACCAGGATGCTATTAGGCCTCTGAATAAGCATTTGGTTTTTTGCATATTTCTATGAAAATCCACACTCCATGATATTGTATGTAATTATATTTTCAAGAGAAAAATACTTTCGTGTTCAGTCAACCAAACAAGAGTGGTTCATTTCACTAGCAATCGCAAAAGCATAATAGAATTTTTCTCAGAGGTGCCCATGTTTCTCCTGATTCTAGGTCCTGGAAGGAATAGCAATCGTCAATCTATCAAGAAAACTGTCAGCACACCTTCCTTCAACTTGTGCTTCTCTTTGGAACTTTAAGGAAACATCTCAGCCCCACATTCCATAAGGGTTTAATCATCTTCAGGTATTTGGCAGGTGTCATGGGTTTGGAGATATGGATCATTCTTCTCTGTGAATTTCATTGCTAAAATTAGTCTCGGTCATTCCTTTCAACCACAGAATAGTACAGAAGGTGCAGGTAGAGCAACTGATGGCAGACGGTCTTTGGTTTGAGGCAAGCATATAACCAGAAATTGACAATGTCTTAAAATCCTTTCCAACTTCATTTTACACCCCAGTTTAATAAATCTTTGTCAATCCTTCCAAGTATCTGGATTATGAACCACATCCAGTGAGCTTGTCTTGAATATGAAGTTTGGATGGGGAAATGGGTTGTTGAGCTGTCTTAGGAGTTGGGCTCTGTTAGGATCTTTGTTTTGCAAGATGGCTTAACTGGTAAGATGAAGTGATGTGTCGACTGTTTTCCTTCTCTTTGGCAGGGATGAAAATCTGCAAACTGACCATTACTTAAACGTTCCTCGATGGATGACCAAGGAATCGATGGATTCCAAATCCACCACTTCTGATCTTAGAAAGGTATATTTTCTTTGCTACATGTTTTTAAGATTTTATCTAAGCACTGAAGAGTAGAAGTATTATGCGTGTGTCTTCGTGATATACAGAAGGGAGGATTTTCAGATGGTAGGTGAAGATGCAGTGCAGTCTCTGTAGCAAAGATAAGGTCTCTGGATTCTTTCCATCTATTTCAATAGAAAACTGTCCATCCTTCTCGCAGTAGAGATTGTAAAAAGAGAAAATGGTGTATATATATTTTTACATTTACTTCATGTCTAGTATAGTATAGTATATATTAATGTCTTTTCATTGATCTTATTGCAGCAATGTAAAATGTCTTCTTGTAGTACTTCAAATACTGATACTTCATCAGCCCAATCATCTCGTCCCATCAGCATTTTATTCAAATTTTGCTTGGACATGGAAAAGCTCAATATGTTCATTGTACCAAATTAAAGGTGTTGACAAGGATGCATCTATACGTGTTACATTGGTTTCCAATGTGCTTTTACATCTAACATGACTATAATATTATGAAATCTTGAACTTTTTAATAATAATTAAATTGTTTGTGATGAAACATCTATTAAAATAATAGGATTTGAAATTGTAATTAGTTAATTGTTTTGTCCCCTCGACTTCTAGTGTGCTTAGTTACCTTTGTTAAATTGTGCTGAAGTGTTGGTCAATTAATTTCTTTTGTTAGCATGTTGTTTTTTTATCTTTTATTTTGTTAAACTTTTTAGCAAAGTGGATTGATGAAAACAATTTGCTGATTTATAGTGTGTACTTGTGTTATTATTATTATTTTTCTAGATTAATCCGAGTTAATCTAGATGATAATATAATTAGCTAGCCAGGTGAATTTTCAAATGGATTTAATAATTATGATACTAATTCCCTCCTCCCCTCTCCCAAAATGAATGAAATGGTGGCATTCATAGCGATGGCTCAAAGCTCGCTCAAAATTCTCTCTCAACACTATTGTTCTTCTTCAGAAGATTTTCTGCTAAAGTCTTTGTCAAAGGTAGTTTCCTCTCTTCTCACAAAATTTTAGCTAAAGAAAGTTCTTGTTGGCAAGAATACAAATTTTGTAACACCCGCCACATATTTAGCATCCATTTCTTGATACTATCAAGTCCAGTCAATTTATTAAAGAAGGCCCAAAAACTTTAACCCACATTTGTGATTAATTTTGTGGGAAAAAATAGTTTTGTTTTTCTAAATTTAAAAATATATCCAGCCTTGTTTTCTGCTTTCCATTTGTCATATAAAGAAGAAAGATTTGGAATTTCTTGCTTCTACTCCATGTCTGCTGGGTCTGCACAACCCAGTTTTCTTACAGGTCTGATCTCATTACTGTCCCGTCCCACATGTCTTGGGGATTTGCCGGGTTAATACACTTCTTGCTTAGCCTGGCTTGCA